GCCTGACGCCATTTTAACTGTTTATTTGCCTCAGAAAAACAAGTAGGATCTGCTGAAATAACAACCATGTTTAAATTAAAAATAGATTTGGGTTTGAAAATTCCTGATTTGGCCCGAGTTTGCATTGGGTGAACATTTTCGGGAGCGGCAGTTGAAGGGCTGGGAGCAACGTCATGGTTGTGGTCAGTGGCCGAAGTGGTAGAGTCATGAGGGCTAACTGGAATAGTATGGCTGGAGGACTGCTGGGAGCTGCCATCTGCATAAGTGAAAGGTAGTTTTGATGGCAGACGGGAAGAAGGAGGGGTGCAGGGTTGGTGTTGGTCCGATGTTGAGGGCGTGTCGGTTTGGAAGAAGGAAGAATTTGGGCTGGGAGAAGAGGTGGTAGCAGCCGAGGTTGGGCTGGCCGTTGTGGTCGGTGAGCGGAGTTGCAGGTCTGGGTGATGTGGACTGGTGTGCTGGTCTAGTTGCAGAGGTCGTGGGGGGTTATTTGGCCGAGATGTGGTAGGCTGGGGTGAAGAGAAACAAACCCAGGTGGAAAAATGTGAGGAAGAGGCATTTTGAGAGGAAGAAGGTGTGACATTCATAGTAGAAGTCAAAGTGGTGTACGGGAAAATATTTTCACAAAAACGCACATGACGACTAATGATAACTTTGCCAGTCGTGGGGTTAAGACAACGATAACCTTTATATCCAGATGCATATCCCAGAAAAACACATTGAATGGATCGGGGAGAAAGTTTATTTGCAGAACTGGCAGAAATATTTGGGAAGCACGCACAACCAAACACACGTAAAAGGGAATAATCAGGAGATTTTTGAAAAAGTTTTTCATAAGGGGATCGACCAGAAAGTGTAGGAGTGGGTAATCTGTTAATAATATATACAGCCGTAAACTACGCATCTCCCCAAAAATGACTAGGAAGAGATGCTTCAATAAACATAGTCCGAGTAAGTTCAAGTAGATGTCGGTGTTTACATTCAGCAGGCCCATTTTGTTGAGGAGTATGGGAGCATGATTTTTGAAAATAAATTCCATAAGTATTAAAAAATTGCTGCATATTACAATTAACAAATTCACTCCCTCCGTCACTTTGAAATATTTTAATTTTAGAGTAAAAAAGATTTTCCACTAAAGATTTAAAATTTTTAAAAGAGTCAAAGACCTCATGTTTAACACATAAGGGGTAAATCCACGTAAAATGAGAAAAATCATCAATAAAGCAGGCATAATATTTAAAACCCAAATTAGAAAGAACAGGAGACTGCCATACATCAGAATGAATTAATTGCAAAGGAGAAGACGAAGTATGAATAGCATTGGAAAAAGGTAATCGTTGGGACTTGCCTAACCGACACGGAATATAATCATGAGAAAAACTAGAGTTATTACATAGGGAAAGTTCCCGAAATAGGACTAAAACAGTTTGAAAATTCCAAAATAGGACTGCCAAGTTTTTTATTCCCAAAATAGGAGTAATTACTGCCATGTTTGGAAAATACTACCATGTTTGACGTCTGGTACTGCCAAAACATGGCAGTAATTAGTCCTATTTTGGGAATAAAAACATGACAGTCCTATTTTGGAATTTTCTAACCTTTTTAGTCCTATTTTGGGTAATATCTCTATTACATATGCGTTTTTGACTGCTTAAAATACGTAAAATATTGTCACCACAATGACCTAATCTACGATGCCACACAGGGCCAGAGGCGAGAACTGAAGATAAAGCTAAGCTAGATGGTGGACTCGGGCTGAGAGGATAGAGGTGGCCATTAGTTGTTGCCCGAAGAAGAACCGCCCCCGAAATTTTGTCCTTAACAAAAAAGGAATTTTTGTCAAAAATAGCAACACAATTGTTATCAGCACACAATTTTTGAATTGAAATTAAATTGAATTTAATTTTAGGGACATGATAAATAGATTTTAATAGCAACGGGCGGCTAGAGGAATTTAGTGAAATATCACCAACATGTTTGATAGGGAGTTGAGCACCATTAGCAACACTAACAATAGTTGGACCAGAATAAATAGATTTATTCATCAAAATACCTTCAGAGGAAGTCATATGAGCAGAGGCACCAGTGTCTGGATACCACAAAGCTTCATTAGCTTGACCGATGAGAAGTACATGTGCAGATGGTGGGGAAAAACGGGAAGGACGGCTGATTGCAGAATGACCTGCAGAAAAACAAATTTGACACACAACATGAGGGGAATTGCCCCAAGAATTCCCTTAGTAGATGGTGAGCCTGCAGACTGAACATTAGTACCACAAAATAGTATAGCATTCGTATTTATAGTGGACAAAATAGAATTACTCATAGCACCTGCATTCGGAGGTCTCAGTGGCTGCTGCACACCATGGGGTTGGCAGAACCCTTGTAGAATGGGCTATCCTTGCTGCTGGCCTTGACTGTAACCTTGCTGGCCGTATCCTTGCTGGCCGTGACCGTAACCTTGTTGGCCATACTACTGATTTCCGCGGGCTCCGCCGCAGCCACCTCTACCGTGGCCACCACATCCTCCTGTTGGTGCATTCCCGGGTTCTTGTACGCTAAATGCTTGGTAAGCAGGTGGAGCACCCTGTTGGCGAACGTAAAGAACACGTTATTCAGCCTCTAACAGACTGCGATGAAGGATATCTGGCGGAAAATTCTCAGGAAGAAGGGAAATAGTGCTCATAGTAGATTCATATTCCGGTCCAAGCCCCATAAGAGTGGTCTGAAGAACTTCTTTATCGGACACCAGAGAATTGATCGCAACCAGTTCACTAACTAATTGATGAATTTCCCTTAAATAATTTTCCATAGACTGATTTTCCTTCTTTTTCATATTTGTCAACAGACGCCTAAGTGTCATAGACCTAGCCAGACTAGTAGACCGAAAACGATTTTACAATCTTTCCCAAATCTAAAAAGAATGTTTAAGTTCATGTACATCAATTAATAAGTCACGGGTACGAGTAACAAAAATCCAAGAACGAATGGTTTGACCAACCCGGAGCCAATGATAATAGTCAGTATTAATTATTTGGTGATTATTAAAATCAACCTTGTACATGGGAGGTACCTGTGTGGAACCATCCAAGAAGCTAAACACACCTTGAGAGACGAGAAAAGATTCAATTTGAGTTCGCCATGTGATGTAATCTTCCACCGCCTTAAGTTTGATTGTAACAATTTGAGTTACATTATTTGCCAAATAAACAGTTTGATTGTTCCAAATAATTCTTATTTGGATGTATATTATTAAAAAAATTCATTTAAGCCTTGTGCTCAAGAAACTGGACCTAGACAGAGGAATATTAACGGTAAAGAATACGGACATAAAGTCCATACCCACATTACCCAGAAAGGATATGGAAACGTAATCGCCGGAGCTACACGTACCAATCCCTAACAGAAGCTAGCTGAACAGAAAGGACGAGATCACCGAAGAGACTCGAACCTTAACAAAAGAGTAATAGTGCTCTAAAAAGATTTCAGGAGTGTACATAGTACACTAAACAGGAGAACACTAATTCCTCTAATACGTAACTAAAATAGCCCAAAATTAACTACGTAAATAAGTAAATAACAATACTAAAAAGTACATCCTTATATGTCATACAAATTTTAAGCCATAATTATAAAACCCACATATTAATTAATACGTATAGTACATACGTGGAATGCATATGAATGTAAACAGTACACGTGTTATTTTATTACACACGTACATATACTATAATACTATATATACCAATTAGCTAGGTCGGCTACTATTACTCCAAATAAATTCCATGAGCAGTAAATTTTATAAATAGATTAGTTACACTAATTTCTAGGCTACACATATAAACTGGTTATAGAAGCACCACTTAAATATATACGAAAGTACTTATTAAGAAATATAAATCTGAGGTAATATACATGCATATTTACATTACTTTATATATATACACTAATAAACTAGGATCCCTTATTTTAACTTAATAAAGATATGCACATGTAAAGTATATTTGTGTTTATATATCTTTAATAAATCCTAATACTACGTATATATTAGTAGCACCTATCATACAAATTCATCCCAATATATATTACTTTATACTCAGCTCATACACCGATTGAAGTTATTACCACTAAGTTGTTTGGTTCATTCTTTTAAACTTACATTTATCTTTATACAAAATCCTGAATATCAAACGTACACACAAAATAATAGTTCTGACAAATTAATGAACATTTAATTAGAGCATACAAAATATACAAATTCATCATCCCCATAATATGTATAACGGGGACGGAATAGTATTACTACTAATAAAAGTGGGGCGGGAAACGTACTGACCTTATACACGAAATTTTAATGATTTTTGGATCTGAAGCTATTTTTCTTCAGCTCGTTTCTACCTCTTCTGCTTGTTCAACCCTTCCTTACTTAATAAATATTTTAGAACTAATAATGGCTGGCCGTATGGTATATGTTTGATCCTTTGGGATAATTGAGGTCATCTATATATAGTGTGACATGGTCTTGCTAATTCACATATACGGAGTAGTAGATAGAATTTCTAGCAAACATAATTATTGTCATAACTATTCCTTCAAAGATGATTAGGCTAGATGTCTTGTTTTAGTGTAAAAATATCTTATAAGAATAGACCTTTAATTGGGCTGCCCATACTTAATCAATTTAAGATGTTTGACTCTTATAATTTATACTTATACGAGTATTACATTTGTCGGTATTGCCTATATGATTAGTAGGAACATTGTTTTAAATGTTTGAGACACGTATTGCCTAAATGATTACTCTATTTTTCAATTAGAGTAAGTACTATTTTACTATTACTTTATTATTTACACTCTTTTAATAAAATTATATGTAAACTTACACGAAGCAGTAGAAAATATTGAATTGGTTAAAGTAATTTATTCATATGTATCTTAACTACTAGACCAGATTTTGGGGCGTTACAGGAACTTAAGCGATTAACAAAAAGCACCTTATGCAGAGGTGGCAGCAACAAGTAGGGAAAAATTTGCTCAAGAAATGCGGTCTTGTCAGAAGAAGGAAGAAGAAATTGCCTCCCATGAGAAGAAAGAAGAGGAGGTGATGGAAATTAAGAAGCAGAAGGCAATGAAATTGCTGAAAAGGGAGAAAGTTGAAAATCATATGATGGTTAATATTCGTCATTTGCTTTCATAATTTGCTCTGTATTTTCTTATTCAAAGTTTTTATTATTTGTTGCATTTCCTTATTAAGTAAGTTTTAGTTCTGCAATTTACTTTTTATTTTTTCTACACTTTAATCTCCTATGGACAACCAATTATTGTTTTTAGTTTAATTGATCCTTTTGTGTTAAGCTTGTCTTAATTTTAATAATGATGATCATAATAGTGGTTAATTTGCAGAAAATGAAAGAAGAGCATAAGAAGAAGGAATAAAAAAAGATATATCCAAACAAGCCAAAGAAGGAATTGGAAGAATCCCTTTATGCCCACAAAGCCTCTAAGGTAGTTATTTTGGTACTATTAACAGTTACTACAAGCTAAGTATTTCATGTTATTTGCTGCTATCCCGCTGGAAATGAGTGACATGTGCTTTTCTCATTTCATTTCCCTTTCTTAATCCTCCAAATCTGTGCTTATGCTTAATTTGATTTCTGTTTCATTTGAATTTGTACGACTGGGTTTCCTTGGATTTATTTTTTGATCTAAAAACCTCTGTTTCCCGGCCCTTGGATTTAATTTTTCTGGGGGTGCAACAACTAAACTTCCAAGCACTCTCCAAATGGCCAGGGGCGGAGTATGGTTTTTCTTTTGCTTCATGCTACCACTATGTCACACCATTTTGATTCTGTTTCAGTCTTTGACTTCAAGAAAAAAACATGGAAGATGTTGTTTCAGAACTGAAGCGATTGTTTACTATGAAGCATGAACAATGGTCATTCCTTTTCTCTTTAGTTGTTGCAACTACCATCCTCAATTATAATCGATTCCATTATGAATGATATTATTATATTGCTTGGAAGTCAAACTGAGCTTGATCATAGTAGACCTCTCTAAGCTCATTTATATAGTAGACCGCTCTGGATTGCTCATTTTTCTTTGCTCATTTACCGCTCATTCTTATTTTATCACAACAGACCTCTCTAAATTGCTTGAGTTTGCCGATCCAACGATGAAGAGAGCAGTTGCAGGTATCTTGATTGTCCTCAAGAATGATGAAAATAAGAGTCAGGTTTGGTTCTCCTTCAACTTAATGATCTTTTTTGGATTTTTGTATTTTTTTCCTGCTAAGGGATACATGTGAATTGCTTAGGGATAGTAGAATGTAATGCTTTGCCGAGTCTTATTCAAATGCTTTGCTCTGAAGGTAATATATCAATAGTTAAGATAGGTTGGTTTTATATCAATAGGTTGATTTTTGTAATATTGTGATATTAGTAAAGATCATTTATAACAACAATATGATTTTTAAGATAATAGTTATTGCTCAGGTTTTACGATTCTTTATTTCCTCAATATAGGCTTCAGAAAATAAGTTTTTTTCCCAGTGGACTAAGTTTTCTCTTTACCTACACTTTCTACTAAACAAGTTTGACAATATTTTTTTGAACTTAGAAGTAGTAGCAGGTTTATCTTCATTATCTTTTTATGGTCTTATGATTATTTTGTCTTCTATCCTTTTTGTTCTTTTATCTTTTTATCTTTATCTCTCTTATATTCTTATATTTTTTTATTTTACATTTATCTTTATCGTATCCATTTTATCTTATCCTTTTTTTCTTTTATCTTTCTTCTCTTTTTCACATGTATATCACAGATCGGTTCCGGTTAGCCGACCCCAAATTCTTTTGGGATTAAGGCTTGATTGTTGTTGTTTGAAGTAGAAGTAGTCAATACATGCAATGTATTTTGGAGTTTCTTTTCAGTACCACCACTTATCTTCTATATCTTTGAAATCCATGCTTGGTTAAGCACCATTCCGACTAGCATATGTGGGATGTGGTTGTGCTTCTCTTGCTGAGGTATGACTTCCTATGACACAATTAATTTATCTTATTGTGTTATTTAGTTTTGAAAAAAAAAAAAAATCCATTTTTTGTATTTTATTTTAATGATATCATATTTTTTTTAAAAAGTTTATGAGAGTATGTAAATTAAACTACAAGTAGATCGAGACTATGAATCACAGTCTGAAATAAAATTTATAATTAATTTCCTAATAGCAGTAAGAAGGATGAAATGCAAGGCAAATCCCCTGCTCCGATATAATCATATTGAAAGGAGTGTGAATATGCTGCTAAAGGAAATAGAAACAAATGAAATCATGGATATATTACTCTTTACGACAATACACGCATGGGCGGGTGACAGTCTAGATCTTATAAAAAAGTACTTAAGTTAAGATAAAACACAAAACCGGTAACTTGAATAAGTTCTTTTTGTGAAGAAATGAATGGGTTTATTGACAATATATTTCAAAATATTCTAATTTTTTTTTAAATAAAGCAATGTTTTCCAAAATTACGATCTTAGCAGCAACATTGAAATATATTCTATAATTTGTTTTTTGCTTTCAGATCGTATGCAATTTTCAATCGCTGGATCGCACCAGCACCTTCTGGGAATATACTTATTGATTTATATAAATATGCACTTTTCCTTTCTTCATTTTCATGCCTTGTGCGAACAAGCATCTAATAAATTGCATACTCTGTGGACAAGTTGGTATTGCTGGCTCAGCAACATACATTTCTTTTCTCTCTCACTCTCTATATACATAACACACATATATATGCTAAGGTATAAAGAAAATAAAAAGGGCATTTAATTTAGACAATCTGATATCAACTTATTCAAAATTTGATTGCTCTCATTAATTTAAGAGTTTTAGATTCTCTTTCAGCATAGGGGACTATGTAACAATGGGGGAAGAGTTGTAGTTTGTGATAATGTACGCTTTGCTGCAAAGGTAATTATTCTCAAAACGGATATGATGAGCTTCTGATCCAAGAAATTCAGAGACAAGCTGCTGCGGTTTAAAAAGGTGGTAACTGAGGGAGTAGTACATTTCACTAAGGCCGAAAGTTGATATGATAAGCTTCTCTTTGATCCAAAAAATTAGATTCTACAGTTAAACTGTTTGATGAAATTCGTTCTGAGGGCAGTCAAATTGTTACATTATCTGTTTTAGGTTGTCCTACAAATTCCCCGTAGCATATATAACCAAAGTTGTTTCCATTTTAGTTCTATATACGTAGTATATACAACTAAAGTTATGTTTTTAGTGTAGGATCCGTATATGACTGCACTTTGAGGGAGAGATTTTCCAACCTAGGTTGTGTAAAGGTAAGAAGTTTGAGTCATGTGGTTTACTGGCGTTTCCATTTAATGAAATGAAGTCTTTCCATTCTTATCTTCCATGATAGAAGAAGATAATTGATTGTCTTTTTTAGGCTTCATTAAGAAATTTACTTTGTATCTGTTTGGTAAATGAGCACATAACCTAGCTAATAATTAATAAGTCCGCTTATGATAGCTCAGAAGTTAGAAGTTAAATTCTTATAGCTTTTGTGATGTATTTGAGCATCTTTGTGATACAATGCAACTTTCTCATTTTTTCCCAATATTGGGCATCAACCGTCGCGCAACGCGCGCCCAAGCTAGTATATATATATGGGGTTGGTGTGTAGCATATAATGGGCACGCAACTATTTTTTTACCCAAGGAAGTAGGGTGTCGAACCAAAGAGAAGCGGGAAATAAAATAATTAAACACGAACTAAGGATTAAAGTTGGAAGTGCGTTTCTTTTGATTTTTTTGGTTGCTTGGAAAAGTAATAAAATAAAAGTGATTGAGATGAGAGATTTTTATCAACACAAAGTTCAACCAATAGCAAGTAGGGGTAGAAATTGGTAACTAATTGTTCAATGTTTAATTGAAAGAAATAATTGCTAATTTTATTCGTAGATAGATTGTGAGAATTTGTGGATAAATATTTTAGGACCCAACACAAGTCATCTAAAATAAGTAACTAGTCAACATTTTCCAGTGATGGCCAAAGCGAGACTAGTTGTTTAAGTGCAACGACAACCTTAATTATTAAGTATATTATTTACCCAACCCCGTGGTGTAAATAATATAATTAAATAATTAAATTCTCCCGTAAAACTTCAATCCGGGACAAGGTAAAAGAAGTTTAACGGTGTGTTCAGAAAGTGTTCATTTGTATATTTATCAAACAATATGTTTATGATTGAGTACTCATCATAATATATATCACAAACATAACATAATTAATTTTCTGGACACAACAATCTAAATAGAACAAACTTAACAATTAAAATCAATACAAATTAAAACATGATAAGAACAATTAATTAACCAATTTCTAGCCCCAAATTTATTTAGCTATACATGTTGGGAAGCTTAGAAATAGATGAATTCATGATTGAAGTACAAGATTTAAAGAGATAAGGAAGATCAAACTTGTGATAGATGACAATCCTTGGAGCTTGGTGCTAATCTTGACTTTAATCTTGATTGAGAAAGTGATTAATTGATGTTGAAGATTGGTTGATGATTTGGAGATGAAGAATGAAGAGAGAAGGAGGAAATGATTCTGGGAGGTTTAGAGAGAAGTTGGCTCGAGATTATGTGTGGAAGGAGATGGATTAAGCCTTATAATGATAAGATGATTAATCATTAATGGCTGGAATTTACGGAAACGATGTGTTTAGATACCATAGCTTTTTGTTCTTCTTTTCGGTGCTGCGACTACAATAATGTATACAGCTTTCCAGCTACGAAATTCAACTTTGACATATTAGCATGCTGGTTTTGCTTAGCTCTACTCCCTGTCTTGGCAAAGGTTCAAATCCCACCTTCGTGTTTTTCACTTTTTGCTTTCTTTTTTCAATGTACTCCATATTTGCTTTGAAGGAGATTCCACTTTTGTTGTCTTCCAACTTCGAACTTTTATTTTCTTCTCTTCTTCACACTCAAATGTATCCAAATGACATCAAAAGTTCCTGAAAATATAAAATACCCGTATAGAATTGCACTAATACAAACTAACATCAAATAATAAAAATATGTACAAAGATACAACTTTATTAACTAAAATTATTAACAAACTAAGCCTAAAAGGTGTGTAAAATATAAGTACATCAAATCCCCCACACTTAGGCTTTTGCTTGTCCTCAAGCAAAATAAACAACAAACACAAAAATATACACAATTTGGTAAAATTTAGAAACATAACTAAACAAATCACACATACACCTCTAATGTCCACTAAACGGTCCAATACCCTGAAATGTCACAAAATAACTAAATGAGAGTAAACCGAGTATTATTGCCTATCACTAAGATTTTCAAATCAAACTTTTAACACAAACACCTATAGATCTGAATTAGTTCGGGTTATGCAGAACAAGTTTCTCCTATTAGTTTAACTAGTAATTCACCCGTGCGATGCACGGTCGGTGAATTTATATCCGATATTACGCTCGTGATAATTGTTTTTAACACAATCAACACAAAGGTTTTTTTTAATAACGACAACAATGCTTTCGAGTACAGAATCGTTGCAAGCACATAATTCAACACTAAGGAAAGGTTACACAAAGGAATTAAATAACAATATGAACCAAAACAATTCTGCAAAAGACCCAAGGGAAGTGTTAAAACCAAAGCTATTAAACTTCAGAGGTTATTGAAAACTTCTTTGTACACAACATTTTGAGTGGAATTAGCTGTCGTGCCACTCTCATTGCATATAAGTATCTTCAAACCACGCCTGTTGGTCACTCTTGAAACCGCAACATATTGCTGTCCGTGAGTAAAAACTGGTTTCTTCAGCAACAACCCCACCCTGGACAACGATTGACCTTGACTTTTATTTATAGTCATTGCATATGAAATCATAATGGGGTATTGTCGCCTTTGAAACCTGAAAGGCAAGTTGGCATCTGAGGGAGTTAAGGACAATCTAGGAATCAACACTTTTTGTCCAGAACTTAGACCAGTCAAAATTTTCCCCTCGAGCACATGATCGCAAAGCCTAGTGAGAATCAGCCGAGTGCCGTTACACAACCCCATTGAATGATCTATATTTCTGAGAAGCATGACTGGGGTCCCAACCTTTAATGTCAATTTGTGATTCGGCACACCAGACAACTTAATACTGTTTAGAAACTCGGGCGTGTGGAGTTCTGCCATTAAGTCGGTAGTAGAATCTACTTTCGACACGCTGTCTGAACTAAGATATGTCCTGGATACTTCGCCAACGTTGAGACCCATCATATAATCATTAACAGATTCAACTACGGCAAGTGTTGGGGCCAATATTGCACGGTCACGCAAACAACTAACGTCATTTGCGGATGCTACATACTCGGGGAAGATGCTTTCCACAATGGCAGCTATAGGATCAGCATTTGTGTGAATCAATAGATCTTCTGGAATATCAATCGACACAAATCCATCATTTTCTTTACCCAAGACGCCATCACCAATACTTGCAATCCACTCAGAGAACTTCTTCAAATCGTATGATTCATCCTCACTTGTCAAATTTTGGAGACGCATGTTTTTGGTCAAACGAAGAACGGTACAATTAGACCACAAATAAGAGGAATTGATGGTGGCATTGACAACATCTTGTCTGCTCCCATTAGGTATCACAGGTAGCACCTGGCGAAAGTCACCCCCGAATACCACAGTCTTTCCACCATAAGGCACGGTCACACTATTTTGTTTGTGAAATTGCATAATATCCCTCATGCTGCGATCCAATGCCTCAAAACAAAATTTGTGTAGCATTGGAGCCTCATCCCAAATAATAAGTTTGCATCGTACAATAAGTCTAGCAAGAGGACTCCCTTGCTTAATATTACAGGTGGAGTCTTCATTCAAACTAATTGGGATTGCAAATCGAGAATGTGCAGTACGTCCACCAGGTAGTAGCAGGGAGGCAATCCCACTCGATGCGACATTAAGCACGATCTCACCCTTAGACCTAAGGGCGGCAGAAAGTGTCCTCCAAACAAATGTTTTTCCAGATCCACCATACCCGTACACAAAGAAAACACCTCCTACCTCCTCTTCCACGGAATGCATTATCGTTTCATATACAGACTTTTGTTCATCCGTCAGGGAACCAACCAATTTTGCGTGTTCCTCAGTCATTGCGCTGCGGTCATAGCTAAGCTCTTCGTATATCATTCTGTCATTGGAAGAAAGCATGGAATCCATCGTAACCGTTGGCATCGGAGGGTAATCTCGCAGACTCTTTCCACGACCCCGCAACAATTTCTCTAATTCAGCCAAAGCCAATTTCTCCAATTGGTCATCCGAAAGAATCAATTCTGCAAAATAGATAGAATATATTTAGTAAATAATTGATAAAATTTGAGGAAATAAATAGTGCACACACACGCGCGCGCGCGCGCACACACACACACACACACACACACACACACACACACACACACACACACACACACACACATATATATAGGTATGTATATTAAAATAAGGAAAACAATCAGTCCATAGAGTATCTAACCTGGATGTTGCAACAATCGTCTTCGTGTGTGTTGTATGTCATCCGCCATGTACCTCCAGCAATGTTGCCATACAGATTCGGGCCTAGACATTGACTCCGTCCACAAAAGAATAACGAATAAAATTCTCATGTAAAAACCTGAAGAGAAAAAGCTTGCTTCCTTGAAAGCATCAATGAATTCCTTGTCATCATCCAGTAATCCCAAGGCATAACACGCTTCACGAAATGAAACATATATTACACCAGCAACCGTTCGGAGATCTTTGTGACACATTGCACCACGAATGTGATTCAACAGGCATCTGAGATAATAAGATTCACCACTCCCAGGATGGACATAATAAATTCTACCAATAGCGAATGCCTTTTTTCTAGGAGTCCATTCCCTCCTTTTTTTGTTCCAAACAAATTTTTGGGGGAACTCAGCATACGTCAATGATCTGGCCTCAGGATATGTTTTATTGGCCTCCATCCATGCAGTGAACATGCTATCCCTAACAGACGTGGTATTAACAACCAAGTCTAGTGGCTGGTCATCATTAAAAACTACAGATTGCTCATTGGGCAAATGAAAGCTCAATCGCTCAACAGGCGGGTTTTTGTATTGAATCTCAAATCCATACACCCTCCAGGCAGCTTCGCAGGGAGAAATGTATCTACAATCATAATACATTTGAATTTCATCAACGGCATTGTGCTGCGTATCACCATTCGCAGTCTTGTAAAAGGCAGCTGTCACTCGATCACGCCCCTTGTTAATGTACTTGAATAAATACTTTATGGACCTTGACTGGTTACACCACTCTACATTCATATGTGCACCATATTTCATCAACAAATATCGATTGTGGGGGACAACAAACCTACTGTCCAAATCCACATTGTTCTTGCGGATCACACGATTATTACGAACACGTTTATAAACCGGGTAACCGTCCTCATCAACTGATGTCTCAGAACACCATTTTTTAGGGAAGTATTTGGTGCACCTTCCATCAACCATGCAAGGCGCAGACCTAACTGCAACCCCGCAGGGGCCATGCATCATAAAATCCCCTACTGCAGCATAGTACAACGGATCACGGTTAACATCAGGAATCTCAGCAGAAATCACCCTATTAATATCCTCGGGTGATGGCAACTTATGTTCCGCAGATAGCCACAACAAAATATGGGCATGAGGCAATCCCCGTTTCTGGAATTCTATCGTGTAGACCACTGAAAAGTCAAAACAAATTATCAGTATTTCTCTATTAAGTTATGAATTGTGAATAATTAATTAAAGTTAGCTCCCCTACCTCCCCTTACAATTCCGAAACATTTTTTTTTTCTCATATCCCGAATCAAATCGTCCAACTTAATCTTGAAAACTCGAGTGACAATATCAGGCCGATCTTCAGGTCTCAAACCTCTCGAATGGAGAAAACGATCAATCTCTGGCCACCTTGGGTTACAGGTAAATGTAATAAATAGATCTGGATAACCTGCCCATCTACATATGGCCATGGCATCCTGATAATTCTGTATCATATATCGTGCACCTCCAGTGAAAGTTGGAGGTAATACAATTCTCCTCCCCTGTGTGCGGGAATCATTTTCACCCCGCAAGAAAGCATCGTTGAGACCCTTATACATTTCACAACGGAGTTGTTTCTGATGCGTCCTCACAAATTTTAGTCTCGCAGACTCAACCAAAGTATAGCCGTCAACAACGAACTGTTGAAAAAGTCTCTTGGTCTTGAGAAGAGATGAATGACTATCATGACGTTCTTGCAGACGGAATGCAAGAAACTCCCTTACACTAACTCTTTTCCTGCCGCCAACAGCAGAACCATCAGGTGTGGATAACAATGTATCGTCACGATAACCGTCCTCTCCGTAAGGAAACAATAACGGATACTGAAGGCCAAAATATGCCGGATGTAACTCGTTAATCCTCTGAAGCGCTCCAGTTTGAGTTTGAACCAATATGTCTCGCTCCCCTAGTGAATCATCAAAATCACCGACGACCAAAGCAGCCACCTCTGACACCGAAGGCAAATTGTAAGTTCGGGCATCCCCGCAACGATTTCCTATAAGCCTCATTTTCACATTTGTGGCACCATTTGTTTCAATCATTTCTTTGGCTAGTCGAAATGACTTGACCAAAACGTTATGTTCGTTGAGCATCTGAGTTAATCCAACAACTATTCCCTCATGCAACCTCCTCTTATCAGGACCGTCACTGCATTAACATGGCAAAACGGGGGGTGGGGGGTTAATATTTAACCATAAACAGGAATCAGAATAAGAGATACAAATGTGACGCACCTCACAGATGAAAACCTGTTCTCAACCTCATTTTCGGTGTCGTATATATACAACTGTGCAAATTTAGGCCTAGCACCGGGAGGAGGTAACAAACTACCAATCAGATGATAATTTTGGCCATGCAATTTAAAAATGGGAGGAGATCTACCCCTATTGACATTTGCCTCCACCCTCCCCCCCATCGATGTAAATGAAAACATACTGTTGTAAGATCGTATGTTTTCTAAGAAATGTTTACTGCGTTCATCTGCACCCTCAATCAATCTAGTCAACAACAAAGGCGGTTCTTTCATAAATGGTAGCACAACCTTTTTTTTACTACAACAAAGTGAGTATTTTGGAACATCTTTGGTTGATGTAGATATAACACGTTCGTCAAACCAAAACAAAGCACCACAAAACTCACAAACCAATGTTGGATCACCAATGTCCGAGTATTCTGTAATGCACGAAAAATTATAACAACTGTCATTGGAAATGAACTATGTACGGAGAAATTATAATTTGAAAATACATGGCAGATGCCGACCTACGGCCCTGCGGCTGGTATGAGCAGGCAACGCCTCATAGTCAACGTACTCATCATCCACATCACTGTCATCGAGAGAAGTTACATCAAAATCAGGAATAGGTGACAAAGCCAATGGGGCAGAATTCGAAGCATTAACATGGCTAGGGCCAGGCTCTGAACCTATATAACCTAAATAGATCATTATGCACAACATTAATAACACGGAGAGGTGAGAATACTATCTGATAAACAAAGAGAGAGGTAAGATCAAAATTAAAAAATAATTAGAAATTGGTTTCAATTGTTTTCCAAGATTACCATGATTGAAATATTTGACTGTGATGTTTGAGACTATCCCTGATTCCATGGAACCAATAACAACGCTCGGGGTTGATGACATGGAAGTACCTCGAAGCTGCTTTGTAGGGGGCATCATGCCTTCGTCACCCGAAATGGCTAAAAATTTGTTTACCCCAGAAAAATAAACCATAAATAAACCTTTACATGAAACCTTGGTATTTCTTGTAATATGACATGATGCATGCTCTAGTCCAAAATATATTATGGATAATCTAGTGCACATTAATATTTACAGAACATGATCCAAAATTAAACTGGACTAAATCAGCTGTAGTCCTGAGCACCAATTTTTTTCAAAATCAAATTATAAACCATTTGACCAGAAATAGAACTCATTCAATAAAAGTTTGTGGTTATCCAAAAAATGAATAATTATGTTTCCAGATTGTAATACATATCTTTCCCATACTTAGCCTCCCAGAATTAAAGCAAGCAATACCAAATTGAAAAACAACCCATATATAACAAATAAACGTTGTACAACAATAGACCAAAATATATTACTCCGTACTCCATGCAAAAATAATTGAAAAAAATAAGTGAAATCGTCACACCAAAAGTTTACAACTTTTTTGAACCCAATACTTTAAACCAAAACAGGTTCTGACACGGATTTAACTAATAATTTCATTAAATTTTGTAAATCAATGAGGCCAATTGTATAATAAAAAATATGAAAAATTTGTGAAAATTACAAAATTGGGGATTAAAATTAATCATTTTGGAACAGAACTCTACAACGTTATTAGTGGCTTCACAAAATGAATTCATTTTAATTACTCCCTCTGTCCCTAAAAGAAGTTCCATTTCACTATTCAATTGGTCAACTTAAATCACTCTTAATATCTTACTTTTTATATCAAAATTTTATAAAAAATGAATTACTTTTTGCAGGCTTTGTAGCGGACTTAATGTAGTTTCTGAACATGTAAATTTTATTTACTAAAAATAATCCGAGTTTTCACAGGGACCATTTAACTTTATCGTCGGTCAACCTTTGTAATCCGCAATTGGAACAACATTTAGGGACGGAGGGAGTAAGCAATAACCCAAAAAAAATTAATACAGTTTAATTTATATAACCTGATTATGGTCCAAAAATAAATTCTTATATTAAGTTCGGAAGGTTTAATATTTAATATAAATATGAAGCCTGGGCCTTCATTTAACACCCCACGATAGTAAATATATTCCATTCATTTTGTCCAACAAAAAAATCCCAAAGTATCGAAAGGATATGTCAATCATAAAATGTAGGAATAATACCACACTCCTGGATTTTTATACCCACTTAAAATAGAGCCAAAGCAAATAGGCTGGAAAACACCCAATGTAAAATATGAGTCAGCCCAACAGCTGTTGGAAATGGCCCAACACAATACACCCTTAATATCGTACGCCACATCCTCATTCCCCCAGTTTCGCCCTAAATCTTCGCCGACATTCAGAAGTCATCGGTCCTCCCTCTCTCTCAAACGACTTTGGGATATTGCAAGATAAACCACATTCAAGGGTTTCACATCTCACAAACAACACTCCGGCCACCAAAGCAGGTTCCCAAAAAACGCAGCGACCACCCAAACCACGGAAAGCAGCAAAAAAGGCCATGGATCTCGAAGGTCAACGCCCGGAAACACAGGTAACACCCGTCGTCTTCCATCGCACCAAAGCCACAAACCACTACCCGATTCCCTCACATGCGCGCACACACAACACCAGTACAAAATCTCTTTTGCTTACAAACAAACGGAAACGTTTTCTCAGCCAAAAAACACACATATCCTTCAGATCTGATAGATATTAATTTTCCTTTTTTTTGTGAACGAAATAGATTCGGTTAAACCATTTTGGTGTCCTACGTAGAGTATTCTGTAACAAAAATCTATCAGATCTGAAGATGCGATAATGTTGTCAAAAAGCCAAACTGTGTTTTGAAAAAAAAAATACTGCCTCATATAAAAAGAACTTTCAAAACACCGAAAAAATCTGCTATTTTGAAGGAATAATTTCAGACGGTTTTTTAAAATGTGCTACAAAGGGGTTTTCAGAACAGGAATAGGAAAATATTAATTTAATTTCAAACAAAAGGTTTTTTTGATAACATAATATGCATAAAATTTAGAATGTATGTGAATGCATTGACACAAAAAGCTCGAATAAAAGACACTTAACTAAAATACCATTAGAATTTAAAACCAAATGCTGGATATCATCAACCGTGATTTTGCAAGTGTTTAAAAAAATTTCTATCATACTATACTCACATACATTCAA